TAGGAAAGAGTCATGAATCAGGTTGTCCCACAGAGCTTCCAGGAAGAACCAACCATAATGACACCTTAGTTTTCCACTTCTGACCTCCAGAACTGTGAGAGGATACATTTCTGTTGTTTTAAGCCACCAAATTTGTAGTCATTGGTGACAGCAGTCTTAGGAAAACCTAAAGTATGACCTACTGGTAGACCAGAAAGTTGAAGGAGGCTGGGTTCCTAAGTGCATGGTGGTTATGCTGTAGAGCCTAGATGGACTCATCCTGAATTCCTTCTGAGATGACGTTGGGAAGGGGAAAGACATTTGTTTACTGTCTTGACTGTTATTTAGGCTTTTTTATTATTTATAGCTGGAAGCAGTTTCTACTGCTGAAAAGTGAGATGATGTGTGTAAAGTGTTTAGAACCATTCCTGGGACATAAGAAGCCTTCCATAAATGTTTATTAAGATGGGGGTTCGTGATAGTTAGGGTGTTAGCCTATACTTGTGACTCATAGGGAGACAGGGAAGGCCTCACATCAGAAGTGACATTTAGGCTGAGTCTTCAAGGGGAGGGAATTCCAGAAGAGAAAAGGAGCTTTAGCACTCAAGATATGTGCAATGCGAGTTGTTTAGAAAGGAACTGACGTTTTCAGGAAATGATGAGCATGATATTTCAAGGCATGTTATAATATCTACGATAGAATGCTATTCGGTATCTACCTCTAGGCCCTGCCAGAGAAGCTTACTAGAAGCAATTTATCAACACTTCTTCTGTTTCCTTTTTGTTCCCTACCTGAGGCTGATAAAGAAGACAGTGAGAGGAGAGACACATATAATTCCTCATATTTCCCACCTACAATCCAGCCTTCCATAGCCCCCTTATAGCTATCTGACATAATGCAACTGCTGGAGTTGAATTCTCCCTTCCAAAGGCTTCAAGAAACCACTAGCCCAAGCTCAATCAACATAGAACATGGAGGCTTTCACCTTACCGTTGCTTTTGGAATTTTTTCACTTAGTAGAAACTGCTTCCAGCTATAAATAACAAAAAGCCTAAACAAATGTCTTTCCCTCTCCCAACACTTCCATCTCAGAAGAAATTCAGGTTGAGTCCATCTAGGTTTCTACAGCATAACCACAATGCATTTAGGAACCCAGCCTCCTTCAACTTTTGGGTCTACCAGTAGGTCATACTTTAGAAAGCATCACACTTTCATACTCCTGTGGTCTCCTGGTTGTAACGTGGCTGCTCCATATTCCAGAAAGAAGAAAAAGGAGGAGAGGAGATAAAAGGGGATGTAGAAGGGGAGAAGAATGCAGTGTGGAGAAAGAGGTGATATCTATAATTGGAAACCAAAAATTTCCCAGAAAGTTTCAGCTTACATTTCATTGACCAGAAATGTGACATATGGTGTTCCTAGCTGCAAGGGAAGCTGAGAAATGTGGTTTTTTTTTTAAAGCTGGGTACATTACCATTCCAATTAACATTAGGCTTCAACTGAGTAAGGAAAATGGGAGTGATAGCTATTGGGCAGGCAACTAACCAACTACTGTGGTATTTGTTAGTTGAACATAGTCTTGGTTAAACTGAAATCTGGTTGTGTCAATCCCTTTCTTAAAATTCTTTATTGGGCTCACAATTCTTACAGGCATCTCCATTTCTTTATACTGAAACTCTTTGGCATGGTATTGAACGCCCTCACGAATTCTCTGATCAACCTTTCTAGTTTTGGCTTATCCGCCTCTCTTGGCATTCGTCATTGGGTCATCCAGTACCACCTGCCTTCCCCAGAACACCAGGCTCAGCACGTTTCACCTCTTTGATTACATAAATGCCCCCTTTTCCACCTGGAATGTCCTCTCTCCATCACTCTTGCTTCCTGGCATACACCCCACACCAGTCATTTAAGACTCTGTTCAATGGCCTAGCTTTTCCAGTGTCAACCACTCCCCATTCCTCAGGCAGCCAGTTCCTCCGTCCTCCCTGTTTCTAAATGACCTTATCATATTGTTTTATGAATTACCTTTGTAAGCCCCAAATGAAATCTACATGAACAATTTATCATTGGTGCCTGCCATCAGTTCTGGCATCATAGTTTTCAGTGGGTCTTGGGCCATACAAAACTGGACAAGAATTATTCTCCTAATTAAGCACATTTTGTTGAGTCTTAGCATTATTTTAGAGATAACCCAAATCTGAAAGTTCAGCCTCTCGATTGTGAATATCTTGGTAATGCTGAAATATCTAGAAATTTTTAAACTGCAATAAAAGCACACAAGGTTGAGTATCGTTACCTTCATTTTACAAATAAGGAAACGAAGACATAAGAGGGTTTAAGTAGCTTGCTTGAAATCACACAATTAAGTGGGTCAGCTGGGATTTGAATCCAGGTGGGCTGACTTTAGAACCTACATTAATGATCATGGTATCTCCCTCTCTTTTGTATATGCAAGGGCATGCTTCAGTTATTATTTCCATTCATGACTGGTGTTGGTGCAAATTAACAATACCCTTTTGAATGCTAATTGTAACTCTGAGAATTTAACAAAATTATCCAAAAAACGTGGCTGAGGAAGCCATGGACAGGAAGATGTTGACTACATCATTATTTATAATACTGCAAAAATCTAAAAATCTAAATGTTCAATAACACTCAGGAGTTATGTGTTTCCATTCAATATGTTACGTGGTTCTGAACATTTTTAGTTATGATGTCTAAGCAACATGAAAAATAATTATACTATTAAGGGAAAAGAAGCATATTATAAAATTGATTAGAGCCATGTAAAAAGTGCTCAGAAATGAAACTGGTAGAAAACGTTCCTGGATGTGGATGTGGGGGGTAGGACGGTGACTTTATTTTAATGTCTCCTCTAATATTGTCATATCAATAATAGTAAACATAACTTTTTAAGTTCTGAAGGTAAAGACTTCTCCAATCCTTAAGGCTATGCCCATTGGCACAAGTGGAGTGTACACACAAGTGTACAAGTAAGGAAGTGAGAGAGACTTTTGTTTTGCTAAGCTTATTCCTCTGAGAATGGTGGCAAATAGTTAATCAATAAGGATAGATGCAAGGGAAGAACATACCCTATAGCAATTTTTGTTAAACTTAGGACTAAAAGACTCAACAAATGTTATGTGAGTAACCAATTTATTTTATGCCTCCCTAAGTCAAATATGTTCTTTCGGATGGACAGAAAAAACACATTTACTATCAAGTCCATGTTTACCAAGCGTTGCCAGTATGAATGCAGAGGTGCAGTCAGAGCCTCACACCAGGAAGCTAACGGGTCTAGCAATCCCCAGGCATCTCCAGTGGAAGTCATGTCTCCAAATGTTGCATATTTATGCTCACTATTCATGAGCTGTCAGATGACACATCTCATGTCTGTCCTGTTTCTTGCCATAGCTAGCACCAGATATTTGCTCCAAAATCTTGGTGAAGTGCATGGGCAATGCAATGGGATTAGCATCCTGTACCTTCCAAAGAACAGTTTCTGTCTCTACCACTTCCTGATTATGGTGGAGGCTGCTTTGTCATGTGCACTTCCTAAGCACACTGAAAGATCAAACACTTCCCAGCCCCTTTGTGGATAGGTGGAACTGTATGACCAGCTCCAGCCCATAAAGAGACTGAAAGTGATGTGTGCTACTTCCTGGATCAGGCATTTGAGTGGGTAGAACACTTCCAAGCTCTTAGCAGTGACCTTGAGAATCATGTGTTGACAACAACACTAGATGGAGCAACCTGGACTCCCGAGTCAGTAGGTCTAGGGCACCTCACAGACATTCACAGGGTATTTGTGTAAGAATCAAACCTCTATGATGTAAGGCAGAGATTTCAGGATTTGCCTTGTTGCAGCCCCTACCATGACTTATATAGCGATAAATTCCATTTCTTTTACATAAAACAAAGTGAGAATATGGATTAGACATGAACTCAGTAAAAGCAGTGTTCATAAAATATTTCATGAATACCATGAGAGAACAGCGGTATCACATTGAAGCCCATTAAGCCACGTTCTTTTTCGAAAACTGTCGGAGAAACTTCTCATCTTGCAGTCCTAGAAAAGGCTGAGTATCTCTTGAGCACTGGAATCTAAAGTTACTCAGAATGCAGTCTTATTGATTGATCCTTTGTTTTTGACTTGCCTATCAAGCAAGCTCATGGTCAAAGGTGTGGCTTATGTGTGGCCTCATGAAATACATTTTTGTCAACTATCATCACTTTGCTACTCAATCCTCATTTTCCCTTTAGGTCCTACTTTTATCTAATTTTCTGCTTCCTCCAAATGTGTTGTACATATTCTTGCAACAATGTTCCTTCGGTGAAGGGGTAACAGGCATGGGGATGAGGAAGAGTAAGAACCAAGTTTTTAGAATGAATGCCGCACAAATGATCCAGGAGCCATACTTCTAAAACTGGTAGAGGCTGATAGTATAAATCAGCTCTGAGTTAATAATTAACGCTGTTGATTTTAATTTACTTTTCTTCTAGGCTTCAAGACTATTAATTTTTCCATTGATTTTGTAACAGGGTAGCGCAAAGAATACGTTAATGGTGATAATTATTGCTGCAGGATGTGCAGTAAGATAGTCTGTGGCTCAGGCTTTCATGAGGCAAGTGGGGCAACAATGAAATGGATCCTATGCAGTGGGTGTGACTTGCAGTTAGCTTAAAGTGACTGTGCTTGTGAATTCAGGGTTTCCAGATGATGTTTGATCAGTGGTGCTTCCTCCTTCAGAAGTTCACACATCACTTTGATTCACGTTTTTGATGGAAAATATTCCTTCCCTAAAACTCCCTCAGTTGGTGATGAATATCTGATGCAGAAATATTAACATCTGAAAATCCCAGCTCAACCTCATCTTGGTTTTACCTTTGCTTTCCATACTTACGTAGATTCAATGGCTTAAAATATCTCTTGTGTATGAGCATTGAAAGGTAGCGCTGTATTATTTCTAGATTTCATAGCTGTAGTCATATCTGTAAATGATTTACAACAGATGCACATAGACACATGTGAAAAAAATTCTTTATTAATTTCTCACATTTCATTACAAAATGTATGTTGCAAACAACTTGAATAACCTACTTGTGGTTTTCTTTGTTTTTTCTGTTTGTTTTGTTTTGTTTTTAAACCCTTGGCTTCAAGGACTCAGGGTCTCCCTATCTTTTATGAAGTACTGGGAAACACTGATTACTGGAGTCAATAGGTTATCATTTTGCTATTTATTTTCTTCTCTCAAGCTCTGAAAAAAATGTCCTCTGTATAAATTAAACAACAACAAAAAATGTTGTAAATTCTATGTCATTACAAGTCAACAGAATTATAATAATGCATCCAAAATGTGCGGCCACAAAATATCAGGTATATGTTTGAAAAAGAAAAAAATGACATTCTAGCCTTGTTAAAAGGATAATGGTCCCATATTTTTTATTAACAGGTTAGCAAAACAAAATCCAATGGATTACAATATTTACATGTTATTTGAAAAATAAAGTAGTGATAAAAGCATGTCACAATTCTCTTTTTTTCCTTTTTCTTTCTCTTTTTGTTTGTTTTTTGGTAACCATTACAAACACCCAATCCAGGTATGGAACTGTTTAATACATTTGAAATGAGGCCAATTAAAAACAAATAGAGACACAAAATGAATCTTTGTCTGGATAGTTCACACTTTCCTCATTTTCTGGTTTCCACATCATGGCCCCCATCCCTTAAAAATTAAATTAAAACAAACATCCTACAAATAAAAATTCTTAACAGTAAGAAAATAAAAGAAGAACATGCTTTTCAAGTAAGCACTTATTCCACAAATGCAACATCTTTCCATGGATTTTATTTGAAGCTGTGTGGGACACTGTCATCTCAGCAATTCCCCTTCCCTTTCTTCCCTCCCACCCTCCCACAACCCTTCCAAGTAAAAAAAAACAAAACATGAAAACCAAAGGACTCACACATGCACACACACACACACACTCATACACGCACACACACATCCAAGCACACGCACACATGGGCTTCTAAAACCTAGGCTTCAAGAAAAGTTCTTTTCTATTTTTTGGAACGAAACCCTTTGTTCACAATCAGAACATATTATAAATGTAGGCTTAGATTTAGTCTAAGCTGCTCCCTCCTGAAAAAGCTGATATGGGGGACAGAGCAGCTGGCAGCTAGATTTAAAGGAAAAAAAAAAAAAAAAAGAAAAGAAAGTAGTTCTCCAGGCTCCTTGTAGGATATACATTATTTCTTGTCCACACTCACCAAAGGGATGGGATTCTAGCACATCCCCTCGTCCCCTAAATAAATGAAAAACCCTCACAAAACATAATGTCAGCAGAAACAAAACACAGATTTTAAAATCACACACAAAAGTCAGCCAATCCTAACAGAAATTATTTGTGTGAGACGGATAATGCGTGAATTTGACAGGCAACAAAAGGGTGAGGAGGACCTCCTCGTCTGGCCCACAAGCTGCATAGCTGTGCCGAAAGTTTGGTTCTTTAGTTAAATTAAAAAAAAAAAAAAGAAAAGAAAGTTAACTTCTTTGTTATTTTCATGTTTAAAATAAAAACATTCCTATTCACAAAAAAACTAAATCTCCCTTGCCCCCAAATTAAAACAACAGTAACAACACACACACAAAAAACAATTCATATGAAAAACTGAATTGTGCTGTGTTTGTAACACTCAAATTGATAGAAAATAAACATGTGGCAAACAAAATTCCACAACCACCTTAAAATTAGCTCACATGAATCTACCAAATTCTAAATTATAGTTGAACACTAATAAACAGCTTACCTGGAATAAAGGATGACAATTCACAAACAGTTATCTAATAATTAAAGTCTGTTTCTTTTTTTTGTTTTGTTTTTTACTAAAATAATTAAAAAAATCACAGTATTTTAAGAAATAAAACCCACATGGGGATTTTAAGCACAATTTGTGTTCCTTTCTTTAAAACTCTTTTTTTTTCTCCATTCACCATCTTGCCCAGCAGTTCTCTCTACATTTAACCACAACGACGACAGGTAGTACTGACAAATGCAGAGAGTTCCCTTGGTTAAGTTTGAGGTACTAGGAAACAGGTGACTGTTTTATGCAAAGCAGTTTTTTTTTTGTTTTCTGTTTTTTTCCCAAAGCGGCTGCAGTTAGGTCTTGAAAAAGCTTAAGGTATTAAAACTAGAAAAACGCACCAAAAGTTGTGCGTCAAAAAGTTGCTCCCCAATGAGAAGTCTTGTACTGTCACGGAGCTTCTGTTTCCACATACTGTCCAAGACCACCACAGAGTGCACCGTACCCTTGGGAGGTGCTTCCATATTCCGCAACAAATGAAACTTCCATGATGAAGATCCGGAAGAAAAGATGTAGTGATGGAAAAGGAGCCACATATTCCAACCATTTAAATAACTTTAATTTACATACTCACTCACACAGGTACCAGTGCTTTGAAAATAGATTGTTCAGTCCTAAAAAGCAGCTTTGTTCTGTCTTCTCTTTTCTGTCCCTCCCTTCTCAGCCCAAGCCAGCCCTCCCACTTTTTCATCACTGTTCAAGTAAGGTTTGATTAAGAATTTCACCAAACGCTTATTCGTTTTTGGCCTCTGCATTCTCCAGGAGAGATTTGTCGGCAGTTACTACACAGATGGCTACTGTTTCATTCTTTAGGGAAAAGTCTATCCCAATGGGCTCGTCATCTTCCTTTTCCTCTATGGAGGGCATTTTAACACTGTTCTCCATGATCTCTTTTGAGTGGATTTCTTCTCTGCTCACCTGCTTGGTGTCATTCAATGCCCTGGAAAAACATTTATTGAAAAGACACATGAGTATAGTTATCTATATTTCCCTTATTAAACAAATAAATAATAAAAGCCCTCAAGTGTCTTTATTTTCCTGATCCTGTAAAAGCTTTGGGGTTTCCTTTAAACAAATGCCATGGGTGTATGACAAAAATCCACGTGATCCGTCCCTCCTATATGTTTTGTTTAAGTCATATGTTTCTGTATCTTAAAGATTTGAACTTACAGAAATATCCATTATTATTTTTTATTATGCTTTAAGTTCTGGAGTACAAGTGTGGAACATGCAGGTTTGTTACATAGGTATACCTGTGCCATGGTGGTTGGCTGCATCCCATTATTATACTATATTTTGATTATACCATGTTTTGTTTCTAGATGAGCACTGTCACATTATGTCACTTCCTCTACTGGGTCATAAGTGGTAATGGCAAGAACTGTTTTATGCTCAAAGTGATAAGCTGAACCCAGGAGCTTGGATATTATTTATATTTATTAAGTCTAAAAGAGTAACTTAGGTACTAAAGATTTATTTGTCAGATCCTGAAGCAAATTATGAAAACAAACTAAAGCAAAAACCTGAAGATGGAACCCATGTCTTGGGAAGCTTGGTTACATTCTCTGCTGTCTAGACCCTTGAGGCTTTAGGCTTCATATACCAGACAAGCCATATTTCCTCCTGAAAAGACGATATCCTATGTTCTCTCTGTGTCTGGTGGACTAATGGTACCTTGCTGAGGGGCTGATTTAATGTTCAGGGATCTCATAAGTATTTTACAAGTATGCTCTCACCTACCTGGGAGGCAGGCAGAAGCTGGCTCTGTCCCCGAGGCAGGACATGGGAATGTTCAGGGCCACTCAGGGAATGATCAGTCACAGAGGCAGGAACAGAAGCCAGATCTTTTGACCTCGATTCACGTTCTATTATAGAATGTCATGCTAATGAAAACTAAAGGGACATTGGCTGGAGAAAACACTGTACTTCTGCCCATGGGCTTGAGTGGGACTTGTCATTCATGAAGATGATTTTTCCTCATTTGACTTGCGACTGGGTGACCATTTTTTAAAAAACAACAGAAAAGGAGAAACTTGGCTCCTCACGATTGCCTCTCCTCCCATGGCCCAGAAATGTGACACAGAGGGGTATATATACTGTCAGGGGAACAAAAACAAGAGCCCCTCCCTCCCTACCTCTTGCTTTGGACCAAAGCATCCTTGGGATGGCCCGACTTACATGCCGTGTCTCAGCACATGTCTTTCCCACTCAGAGCCCTGTGAAAATGCCCGTCCACAAAATTCACATGGAAAACGCTTCTCAGTGTTAATAGCAGCCCCGTGGTCAGAAAATCTCATCAGCTCTGCAAAGAGAAAGCCGAAGTATTACCTGTGTGCTGTGGGAATTGGCAGAATAGATAAGTCAGCATTCATTAGGATACCCTCTCTCCTACCTTCACTTAGAATGGCATGCGGTGAAAGCAATTTCCAGATTCCTTACTTTTTCTTAGGTTTCCTGCGTAGGGCATTTCTTGGATAGCATTCAAGAACTGTTTCTAGTTCTTGGGCCCCAAGACCTCATTCTTCCTCACCTCCCCAGTGCCTCTCCCCAAGACCTCATTCCTCCTCACTTCCCCAATGCTTCTATCACATAATCTGGGTCTTTCTTGACTGAAGAGACCCTTGCTCATTCCAAAGGAATCTGAGCATTATTTTTTCTGATTTATTCTTTCCCTTGTATGATGATCTGTGTCAGTGCCTCACAGGTTAGCATCTATTCATTTCCTTTTTGACACAGGTTTATCTTTGTTCGCTAAAAAGAATACAGGCTACAGAAAGCCCTGGACCAGGTTGTGTGTTGTGGACCTTAGGCTTTCTACTTGTTCCAAGTAAGGATGAAGGCTCATGACTTGTGGGCATCCAACATAGATATTATAATCAATACCTTACAGGGCAGTTATGTGCATTGAATGAGATATGCAAATGAAGAATCTACCATGAACATGAATCTGGATGAGTGGGAACCAGTATGTGAACACATGTCCCCAGCTATTGAGAGATCCTGGCCAGCTGCCCAGCACCTACCCCTCAACTGGTTATATTCATGAATAGGCAGACATTTCTGGACCGTCTGTTGTAAGCATCAAATATTGACTTAAGTTGTTTTGTTTCCTCCATGGTACTGGGCACATGCTAGAAGTCAGATAAATGTGGATTGGCTGTTTTCAGGCCACGTCTCCTGGCAAAATCAAAGATAAGAGCTTAAATGGCCATTGTGTTAGCCTGAGTTCCTAGCCCATATGTGTTTCATTATGCCACAGAGGGCGAAGTCTTCATGTGGGTAATAAACGGCAGGACCTTGCCAGTTCTGCAGCCGTGTTGCAAAGTAAGGGCATCGCACAGGGAAGTGTTGATCATCTTTACTCTCTGATCACTCTGGTCCACACATACGAGACATTACAGGAAGATGCCTCCTGCATGAAATGCCCCATCTAATAAGATTCTCAGGACGATGTCAACAGGATGGGGGGCTCTGTGATGCCTTAATCTTCAGCACAAAAAGCTATGTGACTGGGGCCAGTTTTAACAAAAGATGAAACATTTTCTCACAAATTAAGAAGATCACCACACAAGCCATTAAAAATAATTGCACAGACTATCTTCCTTGATTCTTTTCATTGGAAATGAGACAGCACCATCTGCTCTGCGCATTAATTCCTTAGCAGGGATTATCTTGGGCAAGAAATCAACAGAATGCCTTCCTGACTCCTCCCCAACTGCATAATGAGAAGGGGGTGGGGAGGATTCTGCTTGGGTTAATTTTGATTTCTTCATGCCTGGATTCTTCTCTTTCAAATCTTCCCTGAGCTTCCTAGGCAGGACCTGCAGTGTGTCCATATTCAATCCAGTGCTTGCATTTAGAAAGGAGCTGCGAGGCTGTGAACCCCCTAAATTGAGGGTGTCTGATGAAAGTCTAAATTACCATCTAGAGGAATAATGTTCCTGGTACACTTGCTCCTTTACCCTTAATCTGCAAACAGAAAACCAGTCATCTGCCCTTTCCAATGGCATATAATAAGTTCTGCCCTCAAAGGAGGAGGTCACTGGACACTGGCCGCACTTCCAAGAGCTCTCCACCAGCCTGAGAGCTGCCTACAAGCCACCTCCTGCCCTCTTGCTCCTAGAAGCAGGGATGTCTGGCAGAAACATCCGAGGGTATTGTGTGCATTTCTTCTTCTTGCCAAGAATATACCTAGATGGTGGAAAGTTGATTCTCAGTCTCTTCAAAGGAGATGAGACAAAGGAGGCTGCTCTTTCAAGGATCAGCGAGGGGGAAGGGAAGGTTTAGTCTAGTAATTCCCATTAACATGACTGGAAGTTACTCATGTAAATCCCCCACCCTCTGAGAGGAATACGTGCTTCTGCAACCTGAGGGCTTTTTTTCCCCCATGTGGTGAAACTCATGAATGTGGACGGTATACTTTTTCCAGTGAGAAGAGGAGACCCTGAAGTCCTTTCCAGCCAGATCACTCCAGTGGAATGCCACAGTGCCAAAGTAGAAGGGGGCTGGCAAGTAGGGTAAAATGGGGAAGTCTGCCTGGTGTCCCTCATACATCTCAACCACCATCTTTTAAATTCAAGTTTTCTTTCATTCCTTTTCCTTTTTATACGGAGTCTTGGGGAGAGGAGGCCTAGAAGGTTTTATTTTTTTTAATTTTTTTTTTTTTGCCTTGGTAATGCTTATAACCTTTGAAATCACACATGCTCAGATTTAAAGATTAAAAAGTCATGATAATATCTAATGAGAAATAATTTATTTCTTGAAAAGGGAAGGCAAGGCTACAGAGCATCATGAAGAAAGAGGAGTCTTTCTGTCAAAAGAATCCTCTTCCCAGAAAATTTTGGTAATAGTGCAGAGATGTTAAGAAATCATTGTGAAATAATTACTTAACATGAAATGGTCTGAAAAAGAAAAAAAAAACCATGCTTCTCTGATCACAACCATTTTCCTTGTAAGTAATGGATTAATACAGCCCCTACTCATAAAAGTACTCATGTTATGAGAACAATCCACTTACATCGTAAGGATGTTTTATTTGTCCATGTATTTTTCAGGTTGACTGTAGGCACAGGGTTTTTGACAGGATAGTGTACCTTGGCTGTCATTTCCTGCTGTCTGTCTTGGTTAGGGGTTCAAGAGACAAACTGGAGCCCCCCTTTGCAAACCCATAGTCTTTTGCCTTGGCATCATGGTAGGAGGGTGAGTGCAAGTCAGGAAAAGGAACGGAGAACATCTTGAGGAAAAGTAGCCCACCAGTAGGCTTCCTTATGTTTGCAGGCAGACCAAGCAGAAAACACAAAGAAATTCTGCAGAAGTCCTCCTTAGAGCAGGGTCCCAAGGGCCACTGAATCCACAGATTTCAGGGCCAGGTCCTCTTCAGTGAAGATTACACTACTCAAGGCACTGGGAAAGTGGTGTGGTAAGAAGAGGGTTTGCCTTTGGAGTCAGAAGACCTAAATTTGAACTGAATTTGATCTCCAGGGTTTATGTTTTTTTATTTGTTTGTTTTGATTTTACTTTGAACATGCTCTTAAATTTTCCAGGTCTTCATTTATCCATTTGTGAAATCACAGTAATAACACCTATACTGTAGGCTTATTGTTTATTAGGTGATTGCTATATTCTAGAAACTGGGCTAAGGTCTTGTGTGTTATCTCATTTAATCTTTACAACAACTTATGGGACCACACCCTGGATAGCCAAAGCAATCTTAAGCAAACAAAACAAACTTGGAGGCACCACCTTAGCTGACTTTAAAATCGACTACAAAACTATAATAATCAAAATGGCATGGTACAGGCATAAAAACAGATACACAGACCAACAGAACAGAATAGAGAGCTCAGAAATAAATCCACACATTCATGGTCCATTGGTTTTCAACAAAAGTGCCAAGAACACATAATGGGGAAAGGGCAGTTTCTTCAACAAATGGGATTGGAACAGGTGGACATCCACAAGCAGAAGAATGAAATTAGATCCTCATCTCACATCAAATACAAGAATTATCTCAAAATGAACTAAAAACTTGAATATAAGTCTTGAAACTATAAAACAACTAGACAAAAACAAAGACAGAAAAGCTCCATGACACTGGTCTAGGCAATGGTTTTTTGGAAATGACCTCAAAAGCATAAGCAACAAAAGCAAAAATAGATAAACAGAATTACATTAAACTAAAAACCTACTGTATAGCCAAGGAAATAATCAACACAGTAAAAGACAACCTATGGAATGAGTGAAAATATTTGCAAACCATACATCTGATAAGGGATTAACACCCATGCCATATTAGGAAATCAAGCAACTCAATAGAAAATAACCTGATTAAAAAATGGCAAAGGATCTGAGTAGACATTTCTCAAAAGAAGACAGACAAATGACCAGCAGGCATATGAAAAAATGTTCATCACTAATCATCAGGGAAATGCAAATAAACCACAAAGAGCTATCAGTTCACACCTGTTACAAGGCTATTATCAAAAAGAGCAAAGATAACATGCTAGAGAGAATGTGGAGATAAGGGAAGTCCTGCACACTGTTGGCAGGACTGCAAATTAGTACAGCCATTATGGAAACAGCATGGAGGTTCCTCAAACAATTAAAAGTAGAGCTACCATATTGATCTAGCAATCCTGCTTCTAGGTATATCCAAAGGAAACGAAAGCAGGATATTGAAGACATATCTGCACTCTCATGTTCACTGCAGGGTTACTCATAATAATCAAGGTAAGTAATCTAGCTAGGTGTCCATCAATAAAGGAATGGATAAAGAAAATGTGGAATATACACATATGACATACAATTCAGCCTTAAAAAATACGAAATCCTGTCATTTGTGACAACATAGATAAACCTGTAGAACATTATGTTAAGTGAAATAAGCCAGGAACAAGAGGCAGGCACAAATACTGCATAATCTCACTTACATGGGGAATCTAGAAAAGTCACACTCTTATAGGCAGATAGTAGAATGGTGGTTGCCAGGGGGTGGGGGTTTGGGGAGATGTTCAAAGGATACAAAATTTCAGCCATAGAAGCATAAGCTCAAGAGATCTATTGTACAACAGTGACTAGTTAACAACAACATTTTGTATACCTGACAATTGCCAAGAGAGTAGATTTAAGTGTTCTCACCATTAAAAATGGCAAGAATGTGAGGTAATGCATGTTAATTAGCTTGATTTAACTTTCCACAATGTATACATATTTTGAAACATGTTGTATATCATAAATATATATAATTTTTATCAATTAAAAATAATTAAAAAAATAAAAAATGTCCAAACTCAGATGTTTGGACACTTCTTTTTTTTTGAGACGGAGTTTCACTCTTGTTACCCAGGCTGGAGTGCAATGGCGTGATCTCGGCTCACCGCAACCTCCGCCTCCCGGGTTCAGGCAATTCTCCTGCCTCAGCCTCCTGAGTAGCTGGGATTACAGGCACGCGCCACCATGCCCAGCTAATTTTTTGTATTTTTAGTAGAGACGGGGTTTCACCATGTTGACCAGGATGGTCTCAATCCCTTGACCTCGTGATCCCCCTGCCTCAGCCTCCCAAAGTGCTGGGATTACAGGCGTGAGCCACCACGTCCGGCCTGGATGTTTGGACATTTTTAATTTTTTTTTTTTTTAAATCTTTAAAACAATCTTAGGAGGGAGGTAATATTATTCTCATTATAATTATTGTTATTATTTTATAGATGGATGAATGTACAACGAGTTAAAATAATTTACCCAAAGCCATCTAGATAGTAAGTAGCAGAACTGGAAGCCAAATTCAGGCAGGCTAAATGTATAGTCCTCTTCAGTCCATGAGATTAAAGAAAAGTGTTATATAAAAAACACCAGCACTGAGGGTAGCACATAATGGTGCTCAGCAATGGCAACTCGTACTATTCTCATCTTTGGATTGATATCTGCAATGTTGATTTCTGATGTTTATATTATCCACGTGCAATAACTAAAGTAACATATCCCAACCTATATTCTTGTATGCATAGTCTGGGGTTTTCCACAATATTCTACGTTAAACAATATAGAAAACCAACTCTGAATCGCATAAATGTATATCTACAACTAAATATACTTTTGAAAACTTTTTCGTTTTGAATTAATTATAGACTCACAGGAAGTTAGAAAAATAGTACCAAAGTCCCACAAAACTTTCCCTAGTGTATTCTGTAAACTGTAAGCTGAATGAAAGAGGTGGTCTCTCTTTCTCTCTCTTTACAAAGCAAGTCAGAGCACAAAGTGGGTTAGGAAAAGGGCCACACAGAAGGGCATCATGGGGTGGGGGCTCAAGTTCTTTGCAGCCTCCCCTACAGTTCCAACTGTGTGTGTGTGTGTGTGTGTGTGTGTGTGTGTCCCAGCAGCAGTAACTTTAAATAAGCATTCAACTGGAAGTTCATTCTCATTCCTCTATCGCTCTACAGTGTCATCCATCTTGCTGTCTGCTTGTCCTTATTCTAAAGATTCCCTAGATACCAGTTTTCCTTATTAAAAATGAATCACTGCTATCTATTTTTCAACAAACATATATCTATAATTAGGGAGAAAATGTCTGTTTTCCTTGGCGTTTCTATAGCTGGTAATAGTTTACAAAGACACAGCCCTTTATGTGTTTCCTAAGTCAGTCTGTTGTGCTACTTAACTAAGAAGGATCATTCCTTCTGTTATTCCTACAGCAACCTCCTGCCTCCCTTCTGTCTCACCACGGACATGCCAGATACCATCTGGGACTGGGAGGGCAGGATGAGACTAACCTCTGTCTTCAGCCTTGCTGTTCATTTCTTCTTCCTTGTCCTCATCATCACTGCTGGAGCTCTCCATTTTTTCCTTCATCTGTTCCAGCTGATCCAAATTAACCCGTCCAACCAGCTCAAAGTTACGGCTTACCTGAAAAAGGCCCAAACAAATGATGGAATAATAAGCTGCAGACCAAATGGGGTTCTCCTTGATGTAGACATTCTTCCAACATCATTTTCCTAGGATTGTGGTTTTGGAACCAGGACCAAACAACCCAGGGGCCGAAGAGGTCTTTTTCTTCGTTTTGGTACTTTTGGAGATGGAGCTGCCCTTTGCTGGACCTTTTTGCACCCTGGACCTGCATTACCAAACTTGTGAAGAAACATGAGCTATAGTGTGCAGGAGACCAAAAGTAAGATGAAGCCTAGAGTATAAATATCCAAAACATATGTTTTTTAGTTGAATTCAAAGGTGTAACTCTCATAAGAACTCAAGTTTCAAATACTTCTGTAGGTGAAGAAGTTCTGCAAGCATGCTGGCCACCAGCATGAGACACAATACAACCTTCTTTACCATGATCCCATCAACCAGGGTGTTGTGGGGTGTCCCAGGTTAGGTCAGATGACAGCTATCTGATCGTTAACTTGAATTTAAATGGAAGATAATATTACTACTGTTAGTGTTACTACTACTGCTTTTGAAGCTACCCACAGCCTATATATCAAGGGTGGGAGTATCTGAAAAAAAACTAGAAAACTAACCCCTAAAAGCCCTTTAAAAGTGTTAACTATGGCTGGTTTCTATTTAGGTAAAATGTGGTCGGAATAATGTGGGAATCCAAGCTTTCTTCAAAATATCATTAGAGGGAAACAAAAGTTTACAATAAGAAAAATTTTCAGTGATTTTCCATTTTGGGTTCTCAGATCAATGGTAGCATAAAATTTACCTTCTTCATGAATCGCTTTTCAGAACCTCTCCAGTTGCATGCATAGAATGATCAGAATTGGCAAGCTGGTACAGGGCTAAAGCCAAGAGACAGCCATGGGCTACGCCTCTATGTATGGTGTTATGCTCCCCTTGTTGGAGGCCTGGGGTGGGGACACACAAGATAAGTGAGACCTGGTTCTGGCCTCCAGAGGCTCACAGTGAGTTGAAGAGAGAAGACAGACATCATAAATCAGATTCCAAGGCAGACTTCCCTAGCTGCCAAAGTAGAGACAGAGTGGTAAGAGGGCACAGGAGAGGAAAGAGATAATTTACAAGACAAGTCCAAAATATTCTCTGGGACCAGACTGGAACTAAGATTCGGTGAACACCAATTCCCTGTGCCTGGGAGATGGGAACATCATCACTGACTGTGACAAATGTAAGGAGCCTCAGAGTACCAGGTCTAAGACACTGAGGCAGAATCCTGTCCCAAGAACATCCTGTAATACATACATAGGTGGCACTCAGAAGGAGAAGAACTCGGAGAAAAAAACCCTTTTAAAACAAGAGAAAAAATACACTGATGTATCTATCTATAACAATGAAATCCATGAAATTAGTTAACTTTGAAAACAACTCAACATGAGGGTGGACAAGACGTAGAGAACAATCTCAAGACTAAACACACAGGAAAGGCAACTTCTTGTTTTTCTCAATTAAAAAAGTTTCAAAAATGAAGAGACTAAGGCAAGAAGAAGGAGAAGGAGGTCAATTCCAAATCCTAATTTATCTTTCTTACCCTCTAAGTCCACAGTAACGGTTTCCAAAGGACTTTTGCTTGTAGCATCTTACTAACTAGGGCTTTAACATTTTCACTGATTTCCTTCTATGACATAAGAGCAAAAAGGGATAGCACAAGGATCATGTGCTGTGACGTCAGACAGACCTGAGTTCAAGTTTAGGATTTGTCACTAACCACTAGATTCTGAATAAATCACTCAATATATGTCTCCGATATCTTTATTTGTAAAAGAAGATCAGCATAATGCTTGAAACACAACAGTCCCCCAAAATGTAATTTACTTCCCCTTTCTAAGAATGTGAGCCTTTTCTAGTTTTGGCTCTTGGAAGTGCTTACAACAAGCATTGTAAATGGGTATTTATGAAATTATGTTTAGCCACAGAGTCTACATTTTAGCCAAATAGCATTTATGGTAAATATTTGAATAAAAAGTTTTCTGGCTTGCTAGTTTTTCAGGAAAAGTGGGCAAAGTTCCAATTTGCCTAATTTTTACATACATTTGAAGAAAAGTATTTTGAAGTGACTAGTACATAAAAGGCAGCCTTTCCTGGGTCACTTTCTCCCATACTTCCCACCATTAGTAATCAGGGAAACTATAAATACATGTAAAGGACATGAGGGGTGGGCTGTCACCAGGAAACAAAAATAATGAAACCAAGAAGACCAAAACAGAATCCTCAAACATCTGCTTTAAGCCAGTTGTTTTCATTCATTCATTCATTTCATTCATTCATCAAGGATTCCTCGAAGGCTGACTTGTTGTGTGTCAGCCCCTGGGGTCCACATTGGAAACCCCTGCTTCTTTTGGAGTTCTTGGTGACAGAAGGAGAGCTGTCACCAAACCAAATGTTATTTCCCCCCCCTCATTCTGGGTTTTTTTTGAAGACTGTATTTGTCCATTTTCCCAGCACCATCATCCCTTCACTGGAAAACTGTTAACATTTTAAATTCTGCACAATTTTAAAATAGTACATGACATTTTCACAGTATGATGTTCATCCCAGGCTAACCCAGGATTTATTTGGTCCTGAAGATTTCTAAAATCTTTGCTAGGCAATTAAAAGATTTAAAAATGCGAACTAAAATTTTTGCTATGTAACTAGAAGATTTTAAAATAAAAACTCTTTATTGTTTTGGGTTATGATGGTATTTGAAATCCCCAAGCCATCCATCCAAATATTAATCCTAACACAAAAGGAAGACTCTTTTCTGCATTCCTGAGCCCATTATCATCTCTTACCTGGATTATTACAAGCCCCTTCCCCTCCCGTATTGGTCTCCCAGCACCTAATCTTGTCCCTTCTTGTATCTGATTCTTTAGTGTAGTCAAAGCAATCTTTAAAAAAATTTAAATCTCTTCGTGTCAGTCTCTGCTTGCCCTGAGGATGAAATACAAATTTCTTACTGTCGTTTACACAGCCAGCTCTCATGTTATTCTGGCACATCTTCTCCAGGCTGCTCCTTGCTCCCACCACCCTGAATTTACTGAGGTCACGCCCTTGAGGAGTCTGTGCCTCCACCATCTCACCTGTCTGAAACTCTCTCCTGCCTGCTGGCTTCACGTGTTGACTCCTTAATCTCCTAGCCCCGCTTCTGTCACTTCATCTGGGAGAGCTTCCTTAAACTTTTCCTGCTCAATATTTTTGCTCCATGCTTTCACAGCACTCTGCATTCCCCTTTGAGGGCGCCCCCACTCAGTAACGAATTGTTTATGGCCTGCACTTCCCCAATCCAGCTACAAACTATGAGGAAAGACTTGCTGTGAATTTTTTTTTTTTTTTTTTGAGACGGAGTTTCGCTCCTTATTCAGGCTGGAGTGCAATGGCGCGATCTCGGCTCACCGCAATCTCTGCCTCCTGGGTTCAGGCAATTCTCTGCCTCAGCCTCCTGAGTAGCTGAGATTACAGGCATGCACCACCATGCCCAGCTAATTTTTTGTATTTTTAGTAGGATGGGGTCTCACCATGTTGACCAGGATGGTCTCGATCTTACAGCTGAACCCCCACATAGTCAGCATAGTGTCTAGATTAGACAGCATGTTATTTTTGTCTCCTGGCTACTGGACAACTTCATTTTCACTTAAAAGTTTCTTTTACATAAACATTCACAAAAATATTTACAAGAATACAAAAAAAAATTGCATTTAGAGTCCAGTTACCTATATATAATAACTGTTAATGAATTATCATATTTTTGTATTCCTGTTCTCTATCCATAGATTATTTACATTGCTTTTATCATGTTAAAACAAACAAGTGTATATCATACTTTTTCATGCCTGGCATAGTGTACACATCATTCTCTGAATAAAGGTATTTTTTAATCACTACATAGCATTTCATCAAGTAGATATATGATAGTTTACTTAACTATTCATTCCTGTATGAATTTACCACGGATCATTTCTGGCTTCTCACTATTAAAAATATTTATTACAAACAGTAATAAACCTTATTGTATTTCAGCCTTTCTTTCATGCTTAGTTTTAATTTTATAGGCTAAATTTCCAGATGTGAAATTACAGGGTCGAAGTCAAAGGGTATAGATTTTATAAAAGCTCCCATCTATTTCTGAACTGATGACAGTACTTTCTGGGTCTGGAGACTGGTGGGTATCTGAGTAACTTCTTGATGGTGTAGATGACATATTGAGAGAAATAAACTTTTTTTCTCTAAAGATGAGAAGGAGTTTATTATCATTTCCCCAAAGGTCCACAACAAAGGGAGAAAGAGCAAGCCTAAGAGTCTGAGATTTAGAAGCTGGTTCCTTGCAGCCTTCTGCAGGTGAAAGAAGCCATATATGTTCTTGAAGGGTGGCTTTTTCAGATACATAATCATTCAGACTAGAAAACAATATACAGATCTTTATTCCTGTGAAAGCTATTTGTGAATGCCCACTCACTCAAGGTGCCCTGTGAAGGCCACTAACCCAGAGTTGGTGAAGTCATCTGTCCTGTGAGTATGCGAGATGAGGGCTGGGTGCAGTGGCTCACACCTATAATACCAGCACTTTGGGAGGCTGAAGTGGGTGGATCCCTTGAGGTCAGGAGTTTGAGACCAGCCCGGCCAACATGGTGAAACCCCATCTCTACTAAAAATACAAAAAATTAGCCGGGCGTGGTGGCCTGTAATCCCAGCCACCTGGGAGGCTGAGACAGGAGAATTGCTTGAACATGGGAAGTGGAGGTTGCAGTGAGCTGAAATTACGCCACTATATTCTACCCTGGGTGACAGAGCAAGACTTCATCTCAAAAAATAAATAAATAAAAATGAGAAGAGATGCCAAATGTTTTATCCTTTAACCCCGAAGTGAGGACACTGCAAAACCACTTCCACACTCAAACTTAATGTTCAAGCTTTGTCTATTTCTTGGCTTTTAATCATTCAGGAAAAGGGTTTACATCTGGTCTTAGCATATATTT